ATATTTTATAGGCAGAGAAGCTGTGCTGTCTTGAGTAGTCTTTTCCAATAGTTAAAGGTGAGCTTGCTTCATCATATCTGATGCTTGCCTCAATTCCTTCAAATGCGGAACATTCCCTCTAACAGGCCCGTGGCTGACACGGGATGGAGGCTGCCTTGTTCAGTATTGGAGGCCCTGGCTGACAAAGGGCCCTTTCATTGCCTCATGACGAACCCTCATCATAAGCTCTCATGTTGCCTGTCATTGTCAGAGGCCACGACCAACGCCAGGGGCCCTCTGGCACCCGGGGTTCAGTCCATGTCCCGACTCGGGGCCCGTTTGCGGCACAGCACCCTTTGTTAGATGCTCTGGGCCCGTGAATGCCCCAGGGCCTTCATTGCTGTAGGAGCCCCGTCCAGTGCAAATCGGGGGCCCGACCTCGTCCCTGTTAGGGAGATGGGCCACTAGGCCGCAGAACGACACGGAAACGATTTTTCTGTGCCGGTAGTGTCTGGCCGAAATAGGTGCCGGCGTTGTAACAGGGGGATTTCAGTCGGTGCAAAAGGCTCTCTGATTTATATTGAGGTCGCAGCCCTACGGGCCGGGATCCTAAATGTGATCCCCAATCAGCCCTTCGGGTCCTTCAGCTTTCCAATCGGGCCCCTGATCGTCGGTCCCAAGGGGCCTATTGGGCCCCCTCGGACACTGCCCTGGCCAGACCCGTCTGGTTTCCTTGCCAACACAACATCCCTTCTTAGGCATTGTGGGTCCCTGACCGACACTCGGGGCCTATGGCCGACACAGAGCCCCTTCACTGACTCAGGGGCCCCGACCACTGTAAGTCGCGAGAGCCAGCCTTTTCCTTGCTTGGGATATTGGCCTTTCGGGCCAGACAGACAGGGAGCCGACTGTTGAGTGCTGGCGGTGTCTGACCAACAAAGGTGCCCTCATCGACTCAGGCGGCCCCAATCAGTACGAAGGGCCAGCCAACTGGTAGTTGAGGGCCCGCGCCACAGGGCCGAGACCTTTGATGCGATCTACGACCGGCCATTCGGCCCTTCAAGCCCTCAAATTGGGCCCTCGATCGTCGGTCTCGCGGAGCCCTTTGGGCCCCTCGGCACCTAGGGTGGTACGCGCTCCCTTCCCCCTCTCCTGTCCCTGCGCCACCGGCCCCTATACCTGCTGCACAGGGTCTGAGGCCGTCGATGGACACATGGCCTCGTGGCGTGCCTTGGCTCTCAAACATTTAAGAGCCTAAGAGTTATTGGGACTCCTGATATCTATGCTGGGGCCTCGTGTGACAGGACCACCCCGGACCAACTCGATCATTCCATGCTGGGACTCCTCGCAATCGTTACGAAATAACGCTGTTGGTCATGTTTGGGCCTCTGACTATTCATTTCTCCCGACGGTATGCACTAGACCAATCGTGGGCTTCTGGAGCCCTATCTAAATTCCAGGGCGCGCAAAAAGATCTGTCCACCCACCTTTTCCGACGACAGATTGGGCCGCTGTCCAGCCTACCCGCCCCGTGGCGGGGACCCTGGTGATCTACGGCCACGCGGAAGAGCTTGGATGTTTCTACCCTACCCCCCCCCCCCGGGTTATTAGGTACCCCTGCATCAGGTACCCCTGCAGGAGACCCAGCGTACGCTGGAGCGTCATCCCTGGGTGGCGTTACGCAGCACGGCTGCGATTGATGACGAGATTATCAACTTGCCGCACCAGTCTGTCACGGCGGACGAGTCCAGTTTCGGCGCGGGCTGCCGGCTGGAGGCTTACGTGGCCAGGCACTAGAAAACCCTTCGCTATCGGGCGATCCCGTGATCCGCACCTGGTATCGTGCGTGGGTGGTGTCCCGTTCGACCCCGGACACACTCGTCATGTCAAGCTATGCCGAGCGTCGGGTCGCTCGGAAGCCGAGCTCAGCATGTTGTGGCAGGTGCGACCGAATGCACGGCTGGCAGCTTGGTGCTCCGTCGACGCCGTGTTACGCCTGCCCCGTGGAATGGACAGCAGGCAGACGTAGTCACCGGCCACGCGTGGCGAGCCCATCCGCTTCGGCAAACGGTCAGAGGAAGGCTTGCCGCTTGCATGAAACCGGCCGCACTCTGCAAACACCGAGTGAGTGCGAGCTGTAAGCAAACGCACCACTTGCGGTCGTTCAAAGACGTGCCGGCCACTAGTTGTCAAAAAGGTCAACATCGGAGCATAGGACATCGGAGTTAGCAGGATCACCCCCTGATGGTGGAAAAGGGCAATTTGGGGTGAGTGTAACATGAGCTTCAGTTCTGCACCAAAACGGACACGCCCTTGTCAACTTGCGACTTGTCATGCATTGATACGGAGCCACTGTGTTTCTCCATCCAGCATTGCTCACATAACACTCTGCTGCCGTATGCTACGCGTGGGGAACGCCGAAACTGCGCTGACGTATGCCCTGAATACAGCAGTCATAGGTAAAAGGAAATACTTCTTCGATGCGGATTTTATGGCGTAGCATGCGTGCCGCACAAACGTAATCAGTACCGTGATACTTTTCCTAAAACATGTGTGCCCCGTCCCGTCTGCGAGAGCATTTTCTGGTTCGTAGCGGTGACATACACAAACGTGCACCGCAAACGGCGTTATTTCCGTTTTCGGCACAGTCTCAGAGCCGTGTTGACTGCCCGTTGTTTGTGTCCGTGTCTGCAACGGCACACAGGCATGCGCGTGGACCATCCCGATCTCTCGGCCACGGCTTGTCAGCGGACCGCTTTGGTGGCTCTGAGCGAGGTCGTGCCCTTTCCCTCAGTGTGGGTCACCGGGCCGAAGGGTCGATTTATTCAGACAACCCATGCCACGAACCGACTAGCACGGGCGCGAACTGCCGCAGCTTTTGCCCCGCGGCAGGGAGTTTGATCCTCAGTTGCTGTGAGCTCGAGTCGGTCGAGGAAAAGCCCGTCGAAGCCAGGCTTGCACCAAGGACCTCAGTGATTCATCTACACCGGCACGTACATTAAGCAACTGCGCTGTCCTGGTGGACAATACATGTGACACCTCATTTCTTACAAGCCTTGTTAGCTGATCTTGTACGCTCCCCTCCCCCCCCCCCCCTAATTGCAACACCACGCACAGACGGCAGGCTTGACTGCTCCTAGTCCCGACTGCCGCTGCTCCCAGCACGAAGCAACAATTGCCGCACCAGCAAACCGCGGGACTGGTATCGCAGGACTGATATCGTCCGTCAGCCATCGCCCGAGACGTCGCTCCAGACTCGGCCGGGCCTGAGCCGTGCAAAATCCGGCGCACATTCCGCTCCGGTGAATGGGTCTCAGGTCCGACTCAGGTCTCATATCCGACTCAGATCTCAGACCTGACTTAGGTCTCAGGTTCTACTCAGGTCTTAGGTCCGACTCAGGTCTCAGGTCCGAATCGGTTTTCAGGTCCGACTCAGGTCTCATATCAGACTCAGATTTCAGACCTGCCTTAGGTCTCAGGTCCTACTCAGGTCTCAGGTCATACTCAGGTCTTAGGTCCGACTCAGGTCTCGGGTCCGAATCGGGTCTCAGGTCAAAATCAGGTCTCGGTCCGACTCAAGAGTCAGTTCTGACTAAGATCTCAGTTCAGATCCAAGTCTCAGGTCGGACTCAGATCTCAGGTCCAGTCCGACTCAAGTCCGCCGGGTCGTAGGCCCGACCAGGAAGCGGCGGCGTCAGAGCGGTATCGACCGCCTCACGCCGTTCGTTTGAGATCCCGGGCGCCGTGAGCGGTCCGCCGGGAGCCCCATCGATCGCGTCGGCGGCGCCCGCCGCGCCGCGCCGCGCCCTCCCGTCGGGTCGAGGTTGCCGACAGGTGCGGCGTCGGCTCCGTGTGCCGGCCCGGCGCCCGAGGGGGTGGCGTGAGGCGATCGGAATGCTCGGCTCGTATCTTGCGAGGGCGGATTCGAGGAACCCGCCGCCGGCCGCTGCTTGCCTCGGTCCGGTGCGTCCTCCGGCACTGCCGGTCCTCTATCACTGCACCCAGCGAGCTGGGCGCGGCAGCTTGAGCCCAGCAAGCCGGGCGCGACAGCGGCGCAGCGCGTCGCGTTCGGGCGCCGACGGTCAGCCGGCCGCCCGGCCGGTCACATCCGGCTGACGTCATCGCCGCCCACCTGCGGATCGCCGGGTGGCGTCACACCGCCGGCCGCTGCAATCTGCCGAGCGGTGACATCACGGCCGGTGGGGGGGGGGGGGGGACGCAGTGTGGCGCTGAGTGACCGGCGCTGCCGACTGTTTGAGATGTCGCACGATAGCTGGCAACGGTGCCCGATAGTTACTGCGGTCGTCTGGGAAACCAGAGGGGCAGGGTTCGCTTCTCCAGAGTGAATTCCCCCCTTGCCAGGGGGGGGGGGAGTAAGGGGAAGGTGACGCCATACGGCCCCAGCAGCTGAGTGCGTCGTAAAGCCTCAATGACGACGGCGAAGACTACTGCGGTAGCGACCCAAGTCTGGGCAAGGGCATGCATATTTTTTCCAAGAGCATTGATGGCGGAGTGCGCGAATGCTGGAGCTCTCTGAGGTTTTGTTGATGCTCCTGGAAGGGGGGAGCATCTGCAGCGCCCCCCCCCCCCCCGTCCTGTGATTCTACGCCTTGGTGACGCCCCAAGCTTTCGTCCGCGTCATCCGTCCGCTTGAGAGCATAAGACCCAGGCCATGCAGTCACAACACAGGCCGAGGCAATCTCCGAGCGGGCCTCTACCCCGGGCGGACGAGCCCCGAACGAGCAGCTGCGACAGGCGGATTTACATCCAGGGGCGACGCAGGGTTGGTGGACGATACCCGCCGGTCCCATGTGCGGAATGACTCTCGCTGTGGCGTTGATCCGCCTCAGCCAGGAGATAACTCGGTATGGCAAACCGCACTTTTTCCGAAATCCGCGGCAGATATTACATGCTTGTCAGCCATGACGTATCCACATAATCCGTTCAGATCTCCGACGGTCGTTTCGAGAGCTTTCGTCCAGACGTCACGGACCTTCCTGGGCTACTACACACAGCGGTGGTGAGGACTAGAGGGTGAATATTTATTTCAAGCATATCATAGGCATAGGCATTGCGTTAATAAAACAACCCGAGGGGCAAAACACCGGCACCAGAGTTATGAGAACAGCCAAACCCAATTACGTGATAACAGCCGACTAAAACGTTATTCTTTCCCGCGCTGAAACAAACATCTCTCCGAAGCGAAACCGAGCGTGCGTAGCTTATCCGGGAAATCGCAACACCTAAAGCCGTGTAAACATTCCGGTTACACCGCCGGCCCCGGCGACCGCCGGTCGCAGCGGAGCCGGCACCGGCGCCCGCCGGCCGCACCGGAGCGCCGCCCCCGCGGCCGCGAGTCCGCACGGCCTGCCCCGCCGCTCAGAGGCAGCTTGCTCTCAGCGGCGGGCAGACGACGGACCGCCGCCACAGCGCACGCTCGCAGGCAGACGCCGGGCTCGCCGCTGCGGCCGGCCAGCCGTCGGCGCTCAGGGCACCTGCTGCAGGGCGTCGCGCAGGAAGGCGTCCGGCTCGCCCGTCTCGGCCAGCACGCCCAGCACGTCGAACATCTCCTGCAGCGAGGCGCACGGCAGCATCTCCTGCTGGTAGGCGCGCAGCAGCCGGTCGCACGCCTCCAGCAGCTGCTGGTCGTGGTGGCGGATGTACTCGGCCAGCGCGGCGCACCAGTCGCCGTCGGCGGGCGCGCGTGCCAGTACGGTGCCGTACAGCCCGTCCACCAGGCCGAAGAAGATCAGGTACGGCCGGTACAAGGCGAACGACTGCGGCGCGCGCTCCGTCAGCGCGCGCCCGCCGCCCGGCTGCACGTGGCGCGCCTGTGCCAGTACCAGCAGGCGCGCCAGCGAGCGGAGCCGCAGCCGGCGCCAGCCGTCCGGCGCCAGCACCAGCGGCGCCATGGCCAGCCAGAAGAGCGGCCCGTCCGGCTCGAAGCTCGTCTCCACCCAGCGGTCGGCGGTCGCCTCCAGCTGCGTGGTCACGTTCTTGAGCTCGCGCTGCCCGATGCGCGTGCTGTTGATGACGTACAGCGCCATGTGCATCAGGTGGGGGATGATGTAGACGTTGCTCTGCGGCCCGCCGCCGCCAGAGTCGTCGCTGAAGCTGCGCTCCTGGGCGAAGCGCAGCAGCAGCAGCTTCAGGTCGTGCACGGTCGTCTGGTATCCGACATCACGGTGTCCGGTGCTCTCCTGGGACGGCCGGACCGGTTAGTTACGGAGACGACGCACGCCATCCGGCGACACGCAGGCTGCCGCGACGAGCAGGGCCCCGGGCGCCGGGGCAAGCGATCTAAATCGTGGCGTTTGGAAGCCAGAATCAGACGGTCTGGCAGGGCTCATACTCCACAACAGAAGCGCGCAGCTAGGTTCTATTTAGACCATACTAGGTCAGGATTCCTGACTACCGCTGGGCTTGCTTCCTATTCAAAATCCTGAAACTACGGGAGGTGCCAGGCACGCGCCACCGCGGCAACGGCCTAGTTGCCTGTGGCCGACGCCGCACCCAGACATCCCACCGCCCGGTCTCTCCCGGCCCACTCACCAGCCCACAAAAATATGCCTGCCACGTCTCCCTCAGCCCATCTACCAGACCAAACAACATGCACCAGCGTACCCACCGAACCATGAGGAGCCCCCTCCCCCTACGTTTCCGGAGTCAGCTGATGTGCCGGCGGGGGTGACTAAGCGTCTACCTCGCCGTCAGAGCGTACCATGACTGACTACCAGGCACGAACCCACGCGCCTGACGACGGCCCCCTCACCACAACAGCCCACCCTCACCCTTAACCGGCCCACTTGCCTATCCCGTGACGCGCCGGACAAAGCGCCCCCTCGCGCCCGCCGGAGCGCGTCACGACTGACCTGCAGGTACGTGTTGTGGCGCGCCAGACAGTGGGCGAAGGCCGACTCGGCCACCTGCGGCCCCCAGAGCGGCAGCAGGCCGTTGCAGCGGGTGTTGGCGTTCTGCAGCGCCGCCGACTCCCACTCGTCGCGCGCGCGCGCCAGCCGCACCGCCGCCATGTGGCAGTCCACGTGCACCAGGTTGAAGTGCGTCACGGTCGTGTAGCCCATCGTCTTGCGCTGCTTGGGCTCGGCGTCGTCCAGCGGGCAGCGCTTGGTGTACGTGTAGATGCCCAGCACCTTGGTGGGCTGGAACTTGTAGCCCTCACGGCAGATGACGCACGTCAGGCCCTGCTCGTCGCTGATGTCGTCCAGCTGGCGCAGCACCGACGACTTGATCACCACCTGGCCCTTGTCGTTGGCGCGCATCCCGAGCGCGCCCAGCTGGTGCTTCCGCATGGCCATGGCCAGCCGCTTCTTCTCCTGCCGCGTTTGCTTGCGCACCTGCTCGATCTTGGTGGCCACCTGGCGGCGACGCGGCGAAACGGTGAGGGACTGGGTCGGGTTCATGCAGCCACATATCACACGTCTGCTGAACACGCGGGCAAATCAAATGTCAGTCGAAGGACGAAGCACCGTACCGCAAAGGATTTCGTTCCAGGTCAGTTGCGATCCGACAAGGACAGCTTCGTGTCACCAAATGCACGGAAAAGGAACATGACCCCACATTTGCACGGTCACAATGGAAAACTGAACGTCTCATTCGCAGATGTTCCCGTTGGCTAACCGTAGGTCCGCCCCTTCCCCTCCCCCTCCCTCCCGCACCGGCCTCACCTGGCGGTTGGTGCGCAGCGCCTCCAGCAGATTTTCGGCCAGCGAGCCGACGTGCTGGTCGGACGACACCTGCTCCAGCCGGTGGATGATCGGGATGCTCTCAGCCGCCACCGCCAGCTGGGTCGGCTCGTGCTTGGTGGCCAGGCCGGCCAGCACGCGCAGCACGTAGTTGAGCGCCGGCCGCGCCAGGAAGCTCTTCCACTGCTCGTCGTTGGTGTTGAGCAGGGCCTTCTTGCCGGGCGGCGCGTGATCGCGCAGATAGGCCAGCGCGCGCTCCACCACGCCGGCCTCGACGAACATGTCCTTGAGCTGGTTGCCCATGCAGTTGGTCTCGATGCCGGCAGTGAGCGCGCAGAGCGACTCGAGCTGCGCCGCCGCCTCGGCCGTGTGCTGCGCATCCAGCTCGTCGAAGTCCAGCACCGGCTGGAAGTGGTCGATGAGCAGGCGCATCTTCTCCTGCGAGCCGAACGTCAGGAAGGGCAGCACGCGCATCAGCTGCTGCAGCAGCGCGCCGGCGCCCTTGCTCTGTCGGCCCGGGGAGACTGAGGTCAGCGGGGCGGTCGGACCAGCGGCCGACGACGGCGTCGTCACTGGTGCCAGGCGAGGGGTCCAGCGGGTAAGGCACAACGGGCGGCACCACGGACGACCGAAATATAATAAATAAACGCTGTTTTCTACGTTTTACTTATAATTTGGCAGCACCAGCCGGTATTGTTACATTAGTGAGATAAATGTACCCAAGCTGAACTACATGCGCCATCAGCCCAGTTCATTCCCACGCGCACCGTACAGCTGGGGACACCGCCAGACGTCGCAGCCGAAAGCAGGAGCACCCCTCAACGCCGCTTACGACCTCGGCGCACCGCGCCACAAACGTGCCGCCCGTGCCGGCGCCCCGGCCCCGACCGCTGACCTGGGCCGTGTTCACGTGCGACAGCAGCAGCCGGATCTCGTCTACCGAGCCGCAGGTGGTGGCGAACCGACGGTACACGTCCAGGTCCAGCGACGTCGCCTCGGCCAGCACCACGGCCATGATCTGCCGACGCGGAGCGAGACGAGCGCGTCAGAGGGCCGGCGGCCAGACGTGCCGCTCCGCCCGCGGGGGCGTGAGCGGTCACATGGAGCTGAAGATTGGGGCGGGGCCACGGCTGCTCTGGTCTCCGTTTGAGGCGTACACCCACGAAGGCCGCAATGCAGCCAGTGTCTCCAACTAGTGCCGCCCGCCTCGCAAACGTGGCGAGCATCTGCCAAGTCTCACTTACACTGCCCCCTCCTCTCCCCCCCCCCCTCCACAAAGCTGCAGCGCCAACACAATGATAAGCTGCCGCGCCTTCCCCCATACACCCACACACAAACCGCTATCAACCGCAAGCAGGTGCGCTGCCCACCAAGCTAACCTTGGGCCGCTGCCGTCTCGTCACATCTCCACTTAGCAGGCACTGTTCACACCAACAGCTGACAGCACAACCCACCAGCGCTAAATCTGCCCCCCCCCCAAAAAAAAACTTCAACAGCCAGTATCCGGGGAATACTACGACTCCACAGCGCCCAACACCAGTCAGTCGCCCCCCCCCCCCCCGCCAGTGACCCGGCCTGACCTCGAGCAGCTGCTGCGTGACGGTGGGCCCGCCGGGCGGGCCGGCCACCAGCTCCGGGTCGGCGCGCAGGCAGAGCGCCAGCAGGCGCAGCATGACGGCCACGGCGCGCAGCTCCGGCCGCGTCAGCGCCGTCCGGTTCCGCTTGGTCTTGATGCAGAGCCCGGTGAGCCGGAGCAGCACGGTCAGCAGCGGACGGCACCGCTGCAGGTCGTCGATGTATTCCATCCGGCGCAGCAGCTCCTGTCGACGGCCGGCGCCGGCGGTGAGGGCAGGCCGCCAGAGGGGAGGCCGTCAGAGGGGCGGCCGGTGAGGGGCGACGGGTGAGGGGAGGCCGCCCGAGGGGGGGACATCAGAGGGGGGGACATCAGAGGGGGGGACATCAGAGGGGCGGCCGGTGAGGGGCGGCGGGTGAGGGAGGCCGCCCGAGGGGAGGACGTCAGAGGGGCGGCCGGTGAGGGGCGGCGGGTGAGGGGAGGCCGCCCGAGGGGGAGGACGTCAGAGGGGCGGCCGGTGAAGGGCGACGGGCGAGGGGAGGCCGACCGAGGGGAGGACGTCAGAGGGGCGGCCGGTGAGGGGCGGCCGGTGAGGGGAGGCCACCCGAGGGGAGGCCGCCCGAGGGGAGGCCGCCAGAGGGGCGGCCGGTGAGGGGCGGCCGCCCGAGGGGCGGCAGGTGAGGGGCGGCCGGTGGGGGGCAACAGCCAGAGGGGCGCCGTCCGGGCGGGTCGAGGGCTGGGGACCGGCGGTGGTGACGCGGAGCCACTGACACAGTCAGTCGCTGCTCTTGTGGCGTCAAAAAGGTCACGCCGGTGGGACGATTATGACGGGTGGAGACATATCCCAGTCCGTGGAACACGCGGGTGGGACGCTGACAGCAGGGCTGCGCTTCAGTGGTGTGTAACTTGTACAGCTTTAGAGATGCCCAGCATGCCTGGAACCTTAGCGGCTACAGTTGGCCGAGTGTTCTACACCAAAGCCAGCACACCACGCACCTGGAGGCCGCCACAGTCGCTCATGACGTTGGCCATGCGGTAGGTCTCCTCGTCGTCGCGATCCGTGTCCGTCTTAGTTTCCAGCGACTCGATGAACTCCTCGGTGGCGTCTCCGAGCAGGCCGCGCATCCGGTACACGATCCGCATCGGCTCCGTGTCGCTGCTGGCCGACGGCAGCCACACCTTGCGGTACACCTGGTGGGCGCGATCACGTGTCAGGGTCACCGGCCTCACACCAGTCTACAGGCGGCACGCGCAGCCGGAGCCGTCACGCTGATATGTGGGCACCCGGCACTCCCACCGAGACTCAAGGCAATGTTATCATAACGGTGTTCGAAGTCAAACAAGTCAATCCACACCTGCTATAGGTATATTCGAAATTTCGGTACAAATACAATGGTAAGGGGATACCGCCAGTTACCCCAACCTCGCTTTTCAGGTGCCCGACATGGAGATCAAGTCTCACCAAACGTAACTCTGCCAGAGACACCAGGGCCCGCTCCATGCCGGGCAGCCGGGCGCGCCGCCCCACCGTCCGCCGGCGGCGTCACCTCACCTCCTTGACGGGCAGGTCCAGCGAGATGATCTTGTTGTTGACCAGCAGCTCCATGCCGGTGTCGTCCTCGAGCAGCGCGACCAGCTCACAGTCGCGGCAGATGCGGTTCTTGACGTCACGCATCAGCGGGCCCATGCCGGCGTCGGTCGACGGGTACGGGTTGCCCACCATCCGACCCTGGCGGACAGGACGGCGGTCAGCGGCCGCCAGCCTACCCTCGCGCCGGGCGCGTGTCGGTTCGCTCCATCCCCGGTACGTGGCTACGAACGCTCCGAGATGCTGGACCAGTGCCAGCACCATACGATGGAGACGCCGATGGCGATACGCCGAGGCCAACATCACGCGCACACGTTCCAAAGTTAGAGCGTTTCCAGCCACTCAACTGGACAGCTAATCACATATGTCCCAACGCAGCGTCCCCCAGAGCAGCTCGTGAGCCCGCGGGGCGCCGACAGCCCCCACAGCGCCCCAGGATGGCGGCCGGTGGCACGCGTCTCACCTGCAGGAAGTCCTCCTGCTGCGGGTCCTTCTCCAGGCTGAGCAGGAACGGCCCGATCTCGTTCACCTCCGGCTCGATGATGGAGCACAGCCGCTCGAAGATGAACACGGGCGTGCGCACGTCGCCGCGGCCGTAGCGCGCCACCGTCTCCACGCAGATGGCCATGAACCGGCGCGTCTCCGCCTCGGTGCCTGCCGGCCGCCGGCCAGGGTGGTCAGGTCGGGCACGCGCGCGCAGAGTGCGAGCGGCCGGGTTGGCGGGCAGCGAGCGCGCGCGCACGGGACTCGCGGCGGCGGCGCATCGGGCTCAGGGGCGGGGGACTGCGCCAAACTCGAAATGCCCTTGTCCCACGGTGCAGTCTTATAGATCACCCCAAGCGTTACAAAAACTGGCTGGCCGACAAAGCCTGAACAGCGGCACCGAATGAAGACCGGACACGGAGCGCCGTACCGACGCACGCGGTCGCCAGGACGACCGGCGCTACGCGACACAGACCGAAGACTGGGCACAGAGCGCCGTACCGACGCACGCGGTCGCCAGGACGGCCGGCGCCATGCGTCACAGACTGCAGACTAGACACGGCACGCCGTACCGACGCACGCGGTCGCCAGGACGGCCGGCACCATCACTGGGCCTTCCGCCTCTGGCGCGACGGCCCGACTCACCGGACGTGATGTCCTCCAGCAGCTGCAGCAGGCGCTCCTGCGTCTCGTCCACCAGCTTGGTGCGCTGGATGACCAGCCGGCGCAGCGAGAGGTATCCGTGCAGCACGGTGCCGAGCAGGCGCGCCTTGTGCCGGCTGCGCACGCTCTCCAGCTCCAGGAAGGAGGCCAGCAGGTCCGTCAGCTCCTTCAGCGCGTACCCTGCCGCCAGCGGAGATGGCCGAGGGTCAGCTGACGTCGATTTGTCTATTTCTGTCTATTTCTTTCTGTCCTGTCTGTTTCTTACCTTTTATATTACCCTACCTATTACCTATTTTGCTTATTGCCCTATTACCTATCATATTACCTATTATATTATTATCTATTATATGCATTTCAATTCCTATATTATTTCTTACCCCTCTATTTTTATCGTTATACAACACTGACGTCGTGGCGAGCATGACCAGAAGCGCCCAACAGCACATGTCATTTAAGTATATGTGTATAATAAACACAATACAGATCCCGCGTGCCCTATACCTTCACTGACAACGCAGAAGCTTCAAGGTGGAGGTTTGGTGGTTAATGGCGCGTCAGCATCGAGGTCATTTTGCGCCCACTCGAAAGCGATCCTTTACAGTCTGTAGTGTCGGGCTATAAATGTACTGTCAACTATCACCACGCGCTTCCGGTGGCACAGTTATGCTGAGGGTCACGTGTAAGCTATGGTGAAGTCTGCGGCACATCCTGTGGCGTCTCAGCTCCGTCGGTTGCATGCGACCACAGACGCGCTTGTAGCTACTGGACGCCGCCCCGAACCGGCAGCCCCGCGGGCGGTGACGAATCGCTCCGACACCGCCCGACAGCGAACTCACCCTGAGACAAATCACTGTTGAGAGTCGTCTCCTCCAGCTTGTTGAGGCTCTCGATCTCCTTGGTGATGAGGTCGGCCAGCAGCCCCAGGATGCCCTTGGTCTGGAACGCAGCGGGCGTGGAGTCATCAGGCGCGTGTGCGACGCGGCGCAGAGAGACTGCCGGGCGTGCGAACGACTGCAGACCGCGCACGTGCGAAGCCGGCGCCATGCAGGTGGGCCCGGCGAAGCTCAGGTTCAGGTTCAGGTTCAGGTTCAGGTTCAGGTTCAGGTTCAGGTTGGCGAGTGACTGACACCACGTCGTATATATATATATATATATATATATATATGTATATATATATATATATATATATATATATATATATATATATATATATATATATATATAGGAATAATCGGCAATTAGCTAGCCTTTCTACGTATTCAAGTTCAAGCACGCTATTTTTATACCCGTGTACAGTCTGCATCCGATCATCAATCATCGCTTTTCCATCAGACAGCCAATTAGGAAAGGAAGACATTGAGTACACAGCCATTGTATTGCCCTCGACTCGTGTCCCGCGTGCTCCATTCGCTCCGCTGGCCGGTCGCCCAGCAGGCCCGGGTCAACAAGCCGCGCCGCCGGTGGGCTCTGCTGCTCTGTCAGTGCCCAGTGTCCGGACGGCGCTCAAAGAGTCGGCGAGGACGTAGTGCCACCGCGCGGGAGGTCGGACGAGCCACCTAATTAGTCCGCGAGCACCTGCCGTGACCACGACCGCCATTACCCGGCGCCGGCAGCGGCCGCCGGCGTCCGAACCCCGCGGCGCCGGCCGTCGTGTGTCAACGCCGGGCGGCGGGAGCCTACCGGCGCCCCCGCCGCAAAACCTACCGACGCGCCGGGGGCCGCGGCGGCGCGCCGCCCGCCCGAGCGGGCCGCCGCGCCGGAGTCGATGGCGCCCCAGCCGCCGGCGGCGGATCGCCGTACAAAACGGGGGGAGCGTGGCAGCGGCGGACAGGCGGGGCCCGACGCCGGTGGCGAGAGGACGGCGGCGCCAGCGGACGACATGGCGGGGGCCGACAGGTCACCGATGCTCGTCCTGTTCTACCTGGTGCTCATCGCCGCCTGCAGTGTGCTGTTCGCCATGCAGGTGAGCGGGACGGGCCAGGGAGGCGGCCGTCGCCGACTGAGGCTCCGGAGCGCGAGATGGGCCGCGCTCCGGCGTCGCGCGCCATGTCGGCACCGCGGTGACCTTTGCGAAGCCCCGGAATACATAATCTTGGCAAGCACAACAGTCGCCAGTATGTATGAGACGCGAAGGGCGTTGAGTACGACAATGCGAACATAAGGCAACCATGTCGTCAGTAAAACTTGTGATACGTGACCTTCGACGCCCCACACGTGATACGCCAGCGTTTCTCTTAAGGGGGATGCGGCCGGCGTCGTTGTCGCCCTTTTGTTCCCCCTCCCTCACGTGAGAGCCGAAGGGCCACCCACTCAGCCACAAGCCCCCCCCCCCCCTCTCCAAACGACATAAGCACCTGAGTGCCTAAGTACCTCAGTACCTGAGACGCTACATGTTGATTACGACCTAATCAAAATAGGATACACCAACCTAACCTCTAACTAACCTAAAGTATCATATAAACTTGAATGGAACAATGCAAACGTTTTGCACAACCAAACTGACGCAATGAAGCCCACATACTGCCGCACCATGACACAATGACCTTCACCGCTGGCTCGGCATGCATCATGTACATGGATCAAACACACGACAGACATGACAACCCTAGAAATAAGATGAGGTTTATCATCCAGGCATTTGAGGCACGACGATCACGGCCAATGATGCATCACAAATGTATACGTAACACCAGCTTATGCAAGGTTCCTATTCCGCAAGATGTATTGTTGGCCGACTTGTCCTCAAAACACAATCTCCATACCATGGTTACAGAGTTTCATGGCGAATGGGTAAATCACATTTGTGGTAACGTCTTGCAGTTTTCAATTTCTCCAATATCAGCTGGCTTTAAAGGCATGTATTTACGTATTCAATCTAAAACAAAATGCTATAAGATTCCAAACGGCAGCTCCGAGCATTAAATCACAAGCTGTGACAAAACCAAAGAATATGCAAGGAACGAGATCAGCGAAGACTTAAATCACAAAAAAACCTACGCCTGCCGCCTCACTTCCACCTCCCCCACGCAGCTCTCCGGCTTATTTCGACCAAGCGTGGCGCCCTCACGCGCCGGCCGCCGTTCCAGTGCCGTCAGCACGTGCTTCGGTACCTGGACGAGCCGGTGGCGGTCGACATGGACATCATCTCCGGGCTGAAGGAGGCCCCGTTCCCCGCCTTCACCGTCTGCGACAGCAACCAGTTCAACCGGACCGTGGCGCGCGCCTGGCACGCCCTCAACCGCGCCGGCAACGCCATCAAGTGGAGCACCTTCCCCTGGGGCCAGCGCCGCATCGACGAGTTCTGGGTGAAGGCGGCGCCGACGCTGCGCTCGGTCGTGCGCGACTGCAACCGGCCGCTGTGCAAGCCCAGCCAAGACCGGCAGGACACCACGCCGCAGGGCAACTGGACATTCGGCATGTACCGGCGCGGCCTCTGCTACACCTTCACGCCGAGCGGGCCGATGGTCTTCAACCGCAAGAAGCGCCTGACACTGCGGCTGCACAGCGACCCGGCCGACTACACCATCCAGGGCTACAGGGGCCGCACGGCGACGTCCAACGTCGACCTGTTCGTGCACGGCGCCGCCACGCCCATCGTCGACGTTGACTTCGACGACGCCGAGCTGACGCCGTCGCTGACGGTGCGCGCCGGCGAGGTGGTGCAGCTGCGGCTGTCGGCGCGGCAGCGGCACCTGCTGTCGCTGCGGCGGCGGCCGGGCCGCGCCGACGCCGGCTACTCGCGGCCGCGCTGCCTCGTGCTCTGCCGCTGGGCCGAGCGCTCGCGCGTCGTCGGCTGCCGGCCGCCGTGGAGCGACGCGTCCGTGCCGCTCTGCGCGAACTCGCGCACCTTCGTGCCGCTGCTGTCCAAGGACTTCAGCGTGCCCGAGCCGGACGTCTGCCCGCAGCGCTGCGTGGCCGCCTGCACCACCACCGCCTACCAGCTGCAGGTGACCAAGCTGATCACCTCCGAGAGCCTGCTCCGGGACAACAGCTCGGTGGTCAGCGTCACCTGGCCGTACGTGGCCGACCTCATCCGAGAGCGCGCCAGCTACATCGGCAACGACCTGCTCTCCGACCTGGGCGGCTCCCTCGGCCTGCTGCTCGGCCTGTCCGTGGTCTCGGCCGTGCAGCTGCTGGAGGGTGCTCTGCGCACGCTGGTCGCCCGCTGCCGCCGCCGTCGGCAGCCGGTCAAGGCGAAGCTCACGCCGGTCCACCCAGTCGCGGCCGGCGCCGCGCTGGCCCAGTAGTCGCGGAGTGAGGGAGAGCGACCGGCTGGCAGCGGCGGCGTCGGCAGCGGCAGCGGCAGCGGCGGCGGCGGCGGCGGCGCTGCCGACTGCTCGGCTGGGGCACAAGACGCACGACGTACGGCGCCGCTCGCACACCTGATGCACACGGCGCCGGGCTGTCCGATAAGGCGCGGGCGCGCACCTCACGCAAACGCGCGACGGAAACGCCGCGTCTGCCACACACGCGAGCAGATGCCTCCCGAGTCGCGCTCTCCGGCAAGGAATGGAGGCGCACTTTACGCAAACGTGCGACAGAAATGTCGCGTCTGGCACGTACGCCACAGCTACCACCCAAGTTAAAGCAGGCCACTGCCAGAGCACTTTGGGACTCTTCCGCCGGTCGCGCTGTTACTTTTGCTTGCATCGTATGGCGCAAACTCTTCCGCCGGTCGCGTTGTTACTTTTGCTTGCATCGTGTGGCGCAAACTCTTCCGCCGGTCGCGTTGTTACGTTTGCTTGTATTGCATGGTGTTAAGTTTCGCGGCTACTGAAAGACGTGCCTTAGATATGTGGATTCGGAGCTTTTCGGTGTTAATAAATCGGAATAAGTTTAAGTATACTTCATTCCAGTTTCACGACGAATAATTCGTACTGCGTCCACCTAGCAGCTGAAGCTTGCTCTGTGCCCTAATGGATGTATTGGGCAGTTTGCTTTGTGGCTTCTGGACTATAAGATGACTTCGTCATACAGTAATAACGTATCAGTAGCGACCAAGCTTAGGAAAACACTATCGATAAGAACTTGACACACGGGAGACTGGTTTGTTACGCAAGTTGAGAAACAAGAGGCTGCAATAACTCAAACCAGTCAAAAGGACCAAACTAACTGGACGACGGCGACGGGAAACCAGAAATGCCAACCGGTTTGTGAGTGTTTAGTAGTGCTAATAGCCTACTCACCCACATCACACTGTGCCGCCATGTGGCTTCAAACAAGCCAGGAGGGACATTTTGAAGATGACCCGAGTCTATGACCCACAACTTCGGAAGAAGATCGCCGAACGGAGCACGGTTTTCCGTCTTCCTTCGGGAAGTGCAGGGAATGAAGCACGCTCGCCGCTGGGCTGGCGCCTGCCACGCCCCTCCACCTACCGTCAGGTAGTACTTCCAGTGGTTGGCATTGATGAGCTTCTGGTACAGGCCGATGAACTCGGCGGCCGTCTCGCCGGCCTCGCTGACGTCGCCCAGGTAGGAGGCCAGCATGTCCAGGATCTGCGGAGGCGGCGGCGTCAGCACACAGGGCAGCTGCGACACCCTGGATTCGGTCGCCAGTGGCGAAAACAGTCGTCGCGAAAAGAGCGTCCAAGCAATGGTATCTGTAGGTTTGCGTTAAATCGCACTCCTTGGTCTTAACAAAAATTAGAGGAAGACGACGCCAGATGACAATGGAAATAACAAGTTTCCATGACAAATCACTTCGCCTGACCGATACAGTTGCAACACCTTTTATTCAGTTTCCCATGGATCTGACCACATTCCTCTTCATCTGTATTTTTAAAACAACAAATCACCGAAGCCTGCCGACTCCACATGCTATTGACACCAGCTCGCAGTGCCGTGACCCCTGATGACCCACCTCCGTCCCCTGACCGCCGGTCCCACTCACCCTGCGCTTCCTGGCCGGCTCGTGCGCCAGCGTCTCCACCATATCGGCTGCCACCTGGCGGGCCTGGCGCGAACTAGGGCTGAACAGCACCCGCCGCAGCCACGACGTGTCCAGGAAGTTGACGGCGATGGCCGATTGGGTGGTGCGCTGCCGCCAGCGCCGGCCGTACTTCTCCATCAGAAACAGGGCGCGTACCTCCGCCCTCTGGCGAGTAGAGCGCGCGTGTGGGAGGGGCGCATGGGGAGGGCGACGGCGGGACACATCCAACAAGGGCGCCACGCCGGCGGGCTGAGGACAGCGCGGGGCTAGCCGCCGCTTGTCCATTCGCGTGGTAACCGCGTACGGGACGTGAACTGCTACAGCCGTGAAGTAACAATACGTGTGGCAATTGACGGCAGGGGCTGACACCACTGTGCGGAGTGCCGGACGGGCCGTCCCTGAGGAGGCCTAGTGGGAGGCGCGTGTCCCAGCTCCCCGGTCGCCCGTCAAATGCCGGCAACAACCGATCGCACTGAGCAGGCGCGCACACCGCCAGCCAAATCAACACTGTCTCCCCAGACCACGCCATGTCAGCCGGCATCCGCGGCGGCTACACTCCAAGCCCGGGCTGGCGACCCCCGCGCAGTGCTTACCGAGGCGCCCTTGGCAGGCTCCCGGCCCCGCTTGACCTTGCGCGACCTCCAGGCGTCGAAGGAGTGTCCGGGCGCCTGCTCCAGCCAGCGCGCGGCGTTCAGGTGCACCTCCGATTGTTCGCCGGCCGTGACGGACGTGGACGCCGGCTGGGGAGCGGCCCGCACACGTCAGGTCAGCTGACAGGCAGCCGGCCGCTGACGAGCACACGCACGCACGCACGCACGCACGCACGCACGTAAGCGCGCGCGCTTCGGCCGAGGGAGGACCCCCGCGCGGCCGGGGGGGGGGGGGGCACACTGTCAGACAGAGGGTCCGTCGGTGTCACGGACCGGTCAGCAGACATGCGTCGCTCGCGAGGAACAGATGAGAACCGGGTGCCCACAACTCCCATACATGCCCGCTGACTTCCTTCGGCGGCCGTCGCCCACGCCGGTCGAGATGGCGATTGGTCGAAATCACGTACCAAAGTCGTCACGTGACATGTCTGCGACAGGTAGTTGGTCTGCCGCACCTTGGACGGACGGAAACGACCCATGTGGGTGCAATGGGGACTGAACTTAGCACGACCAGGGAGGGACAACAGATGGGGAAAAGTCCGCACAAGACTGGAGAGCGCCATCGTTGTCGGAGATGGGCGCAGCGAGCGCAATAGGCTTCTGTGAGTTTGTGGTTAGTTGTTGGGCTTTAGGGTCACGTCAACTAAGATGACTGTTTGCGCCCGTGTCCACATCTCAAGGAACTATGTCAAATATTCAGAGTATGCACAAATAAGCAACAAGTATCATACTCCCCACGAACACTTGTTGGCAGCACACCAGAACAGCGCGGTGTTAGTGCAAGCCAAGCACAAAATCAGACAACGCAGCATGTGCCCGCTCCGCTGCCTTGGACACTGGGAGCAACGGTCTGAAGGCGATGCCTCCCAAAACGATAATACTACCCGAGGAAAAAAGGTAATACTACTCGAGGAAAAAGATACTGTTTATCGACGGCCGGTCGTCTCAACAGACCGATCAGGGGAAGGCGATTCACTGCGAGATACTCAATCCCCACAGCTCCGACACTCGACGAGTACAAGCGCCACTTCCGCAAAGTGGCTACTCTCACCACACCAGCCTGGTGAGCTACAAAAACTGACGTAGGATTACGGCGGAGCGAAATTTAGCGCTCCACAGAGCGGACATCCGCCGGTCGTGTGGGCACAAAGCCATACAACTGAATTACCGCGCTGAATGCGCCGACGAATACCACCATATTTGCCGAGCGAATGACGGAACGGCTTGGGACACAATACACCGTACGGGCGGAGCCGATGCAAAGCCGATGGCTACGGCGTCTGAGCGAGCGCACCTCAGGCGGCCACCATAGCAAACGCAGCTCAATTTTTTAATGCCACTCGAGCACTTAAAACGCGTCCAAACTGTACCAACGGAAGCCGCCCAGTCGCATAGCTTCACTGCCGCTAAGCAAATAGTCTTACCGCCTAATGGAGCCGCTTGTTTGCGCTGCACAATGTTCACGGAAGACACAGTAGCTGCCCAGTTATTACGGCCGCATGCGGGCGGGGGACTGAGTCCGCGCCATAGAAACGGTCATGTAGTCCGGGCCTGTCTCCACACATCCAGCTAAGGCCAGTCGAACAGGACAGGATCACACAAAGACGCCAAGGGCCACTCACGCAAACGGCCACTTGACGGCAACATGTTTACCATACCCTGAGTCAAAACGACTTTCCCAGAAAAACGAGAGCACCGTTTGGCAGGGGCAGCCAAATGCACGCACGCGGGCAAATCCTGTCACCAGCACTGAAAGCTTCGACCTCCCCCGTGACCGACAATCTGTAACCAAGGTCACGAACTCTGGGCAGAGGGGTCCAAAGACGGCCATCCACCGAGTGTGGTGTCGAGTGACGGTCTATCAGCACCGCGCGCGTAGCCGTGCGCATGCGAAGCTCTCGTGTCGGGAGAGCGGGACATGACCTGCTTTGGTTCCGCCATCCACCAATCGGGGCAGGGTGGGGGCCATGGCCTCCTGGCGCTCGTCCATGCCTCCACTGGGCGGAGTTTTTGACCTCGTTATGCTTGTGCAAGCCTGGGGCGGCCGTACAATGGGCGTGAACATCCCGCGAAGCCGGCTATGTCAACAGTGGATCAGCATTAGCGCGTCCAGCCGTATTGGCTTGAGATCTCGTCCTTGAAGCGCGCCAGTGGTGGCTGCCCCCGCGGACAGCGCTCATGTCTCAGAACCAACGTGACCATGTAACTATGACCAGTGCCCTGTGATCATCTAAAGCGTTGACAGGCTGCTGCTGACGCTGCTGACGCTGTAGCCGTCAGCTGCTGACGCTGGCTGGCGACTACAGAAATAATAGAAACGGTGCAGAGTATGTTATTTTTATAAAAGGATTCCTCGGGTAAATCGTCGTGACGACCGGAGCTTTGCGGCTTTGCAGGCTGCGACAACACTTCATTTGGCCAATCACAGGGCAAGACCGGCGTCCGGATTCGCAGCAGGGGCTTAGAAACGGCTGCACTTACCCGTAAACCTAGACCTCATTAAAGCGCCTCCCCCCCCCCCCCCCTCCCCCGCCCCCCACACCTGGTTGGACTGATGATACTTGCACGTGGGGGGACCCGTCAACTGAACAATATTAACACCAACAGCATGTTACAACAGTGTGTTTGGCAGTTTGTTCTGCCGCGCTGAATCGATGATGGCGGTTATGAGGCGCAGGCTTGAAAATAAGTATAGTGTGAGCGCGCTGATGATCTGTCTGCCCAAGCCCGAGGCCGTCACTGACCCTCCATTCAGCAGATTGGCAGTGGTTATGAGCGATAGTGGTATGCCAATATTTCATTACAATTGGCCAGTGCAGCTCAAGTATTAGAGGATGATCAGCAACATAATGGTCATCACAGCAAATACACGTATACAAGATCGTGCTAAGGGTTACCACTGGCGGCCATCGAAATTGAATGGAATTTGTCCTTGTGCATGCCTTCAGACACTCCTGGCAAACATGTCCTGCCATTTTCTTGGCAACTCTTGACACAGCATAAGGGTAACACTTTGACGTCGAATGGCGTCCTGCATGAGCGGCACTTAGTGCATTTATTTTGCTGTCTGACCATGTTTCGAGCATGGTGGCAGGATGGGGTACCCAATCGCCGAGGACTATTCCCAAAACAAGGACAAATGCCGTGCGACAACTTTGCTTTCATGCTTGGGTGAAGAAACACACACACACGCATCCACACGCACACACACAGCAAAACCATTTAAAACCCAAATGAACATCCTTCACATGAACTGTTCCGTGTAAGAGTCTATCACTAAACTCTGGTGCCCTTAATCACGACCTGGGTCGGCCTGAAGCAAGGGGTCATCCTTTGTTCCGTGCCCACCTAGAGGCGCCTGCACTCTCTCCTAGCCTGTCCTGAACGTCTCCTCGCCGGCGTCTGCCTCTCCGCTGAGATCTCAGCCCACCTGACCGCGGCTCGTCCTACCTTGGCGGCGGCCGCACCGGCGGAGGTGCCCGGCTGCGGCGCGGCGGCGGCGGCGGCGGCGGTGGCTGTCGGCGGCTGCATGACGCCCTGCAGGATCTTGAGGCAGGGCAGCGTCACAGACTCGATCACCACCGGGTTCTTGTGCTCCTTGCCGGCCATCATGAAGATGCGGACCACACACCTGCGCGGGGATGCCCCGTCAGACGCGGCGCCTCTCGGAGCGCGCCCGCGCCAGCCGTCGCGCGCAGCCGGCAAACGTGTAACAGGCCGCGGTGAGCACTGGGAGCCGTCGCGCGGCAGCACGCTGCGAACGTCGCTGAGGTCCGGGCCAACGGAGCCGGCTCGCCGCCGATGGCAGACCGCCCCGCGTCCTCAGAGACGGAGCTGTTTTTGCTCGGGCACGGTACTGACTGAGTCGCAGCTGGCAGGGCGTGGCTGGACACTCTGCCCATCTGACGCGCCTTGATTGGCTCCATCGACCGCGTTCAACGTCACGTCCACACGTTCAAGCCATTTTGTAGCAGCAGCCGGCGAGAAAGACAAGTTGAAGCACCATGCAGCTGCAGCTAACTCTAAAGCTCAGCCAAGCCTAGTCGAGCCATAAGTACGTGTCTCCGGCCGTCCTCCACCCTTTTCCGCCTTACCTTAACCAACCCTAACCGTGTCCCCCCTAACCCCATCGCATGCCTTCCCGCACCATTCCCGTCCCTCCCACTTCGCCCCGTGCCGTCCTTCTCTGGCCCAGCCTCGCCCCCTCCGCCGCCGCCACCGGCGAACCGACCTCAGCCGGTGCTCCCAGCACGAGTCCTCCTTCTGGACGGCGGCGCTGAGCAGCGCCATCTCGTGGCGCACGGCGGCCGCCACGCCGGCGGAGGTCATGGCACTGGAGAGCGCCAGCCGCACGCGGCTCGTGATCAGCTCGTTCAGCTCCAGCGTGGCCGACAGGTTGTCCTTGGTGAGCAGGCAGAGCAGCTGGCACACCTCGCCACGGCTCTGTGGAGGGGAAGGGGGAGGGGGGGGGGGGGTCAGGGAGCGCGAGCCCGCCGCCGCATTCGGACGGTCGCACGGCTCCGGACACACCGACACACACGCGATGCGTCAAATGACCGCGAGTGCGGCGGCATCATGGGACTTCAGCTCGGCCGCGGCCCCGCAAGCGACCTTACCAATGGCACGCGTCGACACAGGCCATGCCGGCACACTCGCCACGTGCCCGCTCCACAGCGGCACACACGTGACAGACGCCGGCTCACCTGGGGCGTGCCTCGGCGCAGGTTGTGCTCCAGCAGCTGCGGGATCAGGCCGTAGCTGCAGAGCGTGACGCGCAGCCGCGGGTTCGTGGCCAGCGCGCGCAGCAGCGTCACGCAACACTCGGCCGACGCGCTGCTGCAGCCATAGCAGCGGCCGTGGCTGGCCGTCTCCTGGCGGACGGAGGCGAGAGCTGAGGCTTAGACGCGGTCGACACTTCCAGAAAGGTGGGGCAGTCTGGTGGGTTTCGTAAAGTGGAACTTCATCCTGTGACAGTTTTAGATTGCCCTCAACACGCATATGGACGAAAAATCAGCTCTTTAAATTTAATCATGATGGTTACTTATTAATGTGTACGAAGAGTCGGTAAAGAGTCGGTAAAATCACGTAGGTGCCCACATATCGACAATCACGTATGGTCCACACATCGACAACGCACAGCCTATGAAGGGTCCGAGTTTCGCCGCGTGAAATTGGCGACGGGTCATGCTGCAGGCGCTGTGCATGGGTGATGGTGGTGAACGACAAAGCACGACCTGACGTAGTCAAGAAACCACAGACCGACTCCACCACAAACCCCGATGACACAGAATATTCAGCACCCCAAGGACCAGTTTTGGCATCCCAATTCTGCAAAAGTCACTCTCCGTTCAACGATCCTCCAACGTCTCAGCCAGCCGGCGCCCAGAAGCGCACACAGCCACCTGGACCCAATCCCCCTCACCTCCGACCCCATCCCGCCAGCCGTGTCCCGTCCTCGCTGCGGCGCCGTCCTCACTGCGTCCTCACCTGACAGAAGACGGGCGCCGAGGCGGCGGCGGCGCCGGCGCCCTCCTGCGCCTGCCGGTCGTAGCGGAGCAGCTCGCGGCGCGACGCCAGCACCTTCTGGATGACCTTGCTCAGGTCGTCGAACGCCAGCCGGCAGTCGCTGCAGTACTTGAGCGCCAGCTGGTGAGACGGGCTCAGGTCAGGGGCGCGAACACTGCACTGGACGCAAGACGAGCTTACCACATCAGACCGACAGCTTCCATTTACTGACTCCCACTTCAGTCAACGGCAAGGGGGCAACACGGCGACGGGATAAAGTACGCGCGCCCATGCGCGCTTGTCGGCATGCTTCATCCAAAGCCACAAGCTGGCCGACATGACGAAGCGGCCGCCATACTCTCCGATCATGACCATCACGTCCCGCCCAGGTTTGGAGCACAAGTGTCCGGCCCCAATAAAGCACTCGGCCTGTCGTCCCGCATTGCGCACATGGCCATAACTATCAGTGCTCCAGTAACTGGCTGGCCTCGCGCGTTTAGATGCCCCTCGGCGGGCCTTGACGGCAGCCGCGCGCTCCACCGACCTGCTGTATGGGCCGGCTGACATGGCTGCCGGCGGCGCCGGCCGCCAGCTCGGTGGCCGCCGCTGCCGCCGCCGCCGCCGCCGACGTCACCTCGCCGCCGTGGTCGTTCACCCAGGCCAGCAGCGCCTGCGAAACGGCAGCCGGCGTCGAGCACACCGGCAGTGCCCTGCTACACCCGGCCAGCGTGGAGTGAGCTACATTGCAGGACGACTGGAAACATCAGCCCACTACCAACGACGGCGGTGCCCTCCGCACGGCACGCGTTCGAGCACCGATACCGCCGGCCCATCTTTTTGCCCGCAGCTGCACGCTTTTCCACTGTCATCACCGCAAGCCAGCACCAGCGCCCGCCCATCACACCCGTAACCACACGTATCCTTTTTCACTCAACAACACGCGGCGGCACTGGCACGTCACCACAGCCTCCGCGCGTTCCCGTCGTGCTCCCCCCGTACCTCCAGCGTGGGCTTGTAGGACATGAGCTTCTTGTAGATCTTGTCGGCGCGTTCCAGCAGGCCGTTGATGTTAACGACGGCCTTCTTGCGGTCCTCCTCACTCTCAATCGGGTCCACAGCACAGCACGGCTTGGCCGTCAGCGTGTACTCGAACTTGGCGTACTTGCAGAAGCCGCAGGCGTTGCACAGGAACGGATCCTTCTCGTCGTAGTTGATGGCTCTGTGCGAGCAGTGCGCGGCGTTAGAGTTCTCACAGTATGCTGTGGGCGGGCGGGCGGTGCAGGAAGGCTGCCGTCAGTTGTTTCGTAGATGTGAGTGAAGCCACTCATCGGCTCACGTTATGTAAGGGACGATTCATGCGTGATCGGTGTGATCGGTTCAAATGTGCCGCCTAAGGTACCATTGTCCATCTTCCGTCAGCGTCTTGATTCAAGCAAAAACGACTCAACGCATGGGGCACCAGTCTGCACCGCGCGACAAGCCCCGCCCCATCCCCGCGCCCGGCTGCCCGCCTTCCGCCAGCTCGAGCTCCGGAGCGCCACCCCCATGCGCCGCCTTCACACGCCGTCCTCACCTGCACTTGTGGCACTGGAACACGTTCTCCCCACAGTTGCCGCAGACGCCCGGGTGGGCGGGCACCGAGGCACTGCAGCGCGGACACTGCAGCGTCTCCGAGGACGCCTGGGGAGCGGGCGGCCGCAGCGCGTCAGGACATACACGCACGCACGACAGCGCTCCTCGACCGGCCGAGGAAGCCCGGCTCCGATCGCTCCACTGGCGCGGCCTTGCCTTCGAGGTTTCGACACACAACCTGATGTAGTACTCGATATCTCCCATTCTGTGCAAAAACTTTACCGCCAATACAGAGGATGGAAATTTATTAGTGGACAGGGATTGACACCACTACCTTTCGGAAGGCTATTCACACACACCCCACGCCCTTCTAGCGCACTTTTCAGCCGACTTTTCCCACTGAAACACACCAGCGGACGCATAATTTAGTTCAGATCTGCTCACCACACGTTCCCCACAGCCTACGCCCACGCCGCCGCTTCGTTCAGCGAGACCGCAGCATGACGTGAACCCCGGGCGGCGGTGCCAACACCAGACCCGCCCTCCGTCGCGGCCGAGCCGCCGCCGGTCGCATCGCCGCGCCCACCTGCATGTTCTCGTAGAAGTCGGCGTACTCGATCATCAGATTGCAGGCCACGATCGGCAGCGGGAAGTCGACCTTGACGTCCGTCTGGCCGCCCGACAGCGACACCTTCTTGGCCTTGTGCCACATGGCTGGAGGCGAACGGGGTGCAGGTGGTCAGACCACGGGCTGAGTTGTGTCGGTGTGGCGGACGGCGGCCCGAGCGTCCGGCCCGAGGTTCGAACCAAGCGCGCGGGGTGGGACATGGCCAGCACGAATCCGATCCACGCAGAACAAGAGTGCAGCTCATGATGCGGAGCACCGCGCGTCGCATGTGGAATGCTATCATTGGGGTCCGCTCAGACGGGTTGGAAATGAGCTTCAGATTCACAGATTCCATTTTTTTCTTTTTTTCATTCCAATTCACAGATTACACATTTTTGTGTCTATGTGGGTGATCTGCAATATTACACACGCGTCATAGTGCCGACACAAGATGCATGAGGGCACATGCTAGGCATTCTAAACCTGATAAGACTTGGAAGAGGGAAGAGGACAAGAGAGGGACTCCGACTCAGTCGCCAAGCCCATCCACAGCTGCACTGACCGGTGCTAGTTCTCATCCACAGGCGAGCCCTCACTCGATCGCCACAACGACCGGACCACAACTGCAGACACTGCGCACCCGCCCCGGTCCGAGAGAGCCTGCGAGTCGCTGCCGCTGCCCTCCCCCCTCCCTGGAACTCCACTTACACGGCCGGTTCTTGAGCTCGACCACCGACTGGACGGTGCGGTTGTTGTAGTAGACGTTGATGGTGCGCACCATCTTGCTGCGCTTCAGGTCGCCGATGCGCAGGAAGACGCGGCTGATGGTGTGCGAGCCGACCAGCTTCACCAGCTGGGTGGTGGTCGTGTAGCGCGAGTCCACCTGCCGCCCGGGCACGCGGCCGTCAGACGGGGCGCCACGCCACCGCGGAGACGGCACGAGCGCGCGCACCACGCTCACGTCCCACACACGGGCGTCACGCCCCACACACGGCTGAGACCAGCGCTCAGATCCGTGGTTGTGCCCGCGTCGGTAGCATGTACGGGAGCCGCCGGAGGTCGGACGCCCGCGCGATTGCAGTCCCACGTTAAAATCGGTGTCTGTTCGAGCACCCGCCGCGAGTGACGTCACGAAAGAACGGACGCTGCCCTAAATGACAGCTGCAGCGCCAACACGGTCTTGCGACGAGGCCCGGCGCCGTAGCTGAGAGAGCCCGCACTGCTGCGCACATGTCACCGCGGCCCGCCGCCGGTCGTGCCGCACACCCACCTTGACGCCTGAGAGCTTGAGCTGCGAGTAGGCCACCTCCGGATTGTTGCAGACCAGGCACGGCTCCGACTCCAGGTAGTAGCCGTCGAACTCGACCAGCGCCGCCAAGCCGGCGTACAGCTGGCCGTTGGCGTGGTTGGCCAGCTGCTGGTTCTGCGTGCGCAGCATCTCCATGGCCGTGCTCCATCGTAGGCCGACACTGCCACGCGAAGGGAGCCGGGCGGGGCCCGGGGGGGGGGGGGGGGGCGGTTAGAGAACTTGGGGTTGCGGCTACATCACCCACGCGTCAGCGTAGACGTGTGCCACGCACGCACCACACAGTGCTAGCCGCGTTGCAGTGTCGGCGATGGGGGACGTTTTGCACAACGCGCAACCGTCCCAATGGTCACAACTTCCACTGCGCAAAGCGTGAGCAATTCCCGACCGGAGGTGAGAGTGGGACCTGCCGGCTCCTCCAGGACAGCTTCAACTCCACTCGACCCGGCCTGGCCTCACAGAGCTGGCCGGTCGCGACGCCGCACCTTATCCTCGGCCTCGGTGGTCTTCAGTGACATGAAGCCGAGCAGGTCGACGAAACTGGGACGGCCCTTGCGTCCGTACGAGGGGCAAGCAGCGGCCCACAGCTTCCACATCAGCTTCGACCAGCGCCTCCTTGTCGGGCCCGAGGTGGCGCTCCTGCCGACGCAGGGGCGCGCGCGTGACGGAGGGGGGACGACATAAGTTTTGACCCGAGGGCACCGCGTCGCTCGGCCTTCAGTGGCAGGTCCAAAACGGCTCAGCGGTGAACAGCTGGCACCCGCACCTCTGAAGTGTAACCCTGCTCCGCCTGTTTCCAACATGCCTGACCATATCAATAACCCTCCACAAGCGACGGCAATAGCAGAGCCTCCAGGCTGTGACCAACCGCCCACACCCCCCATTCCGCTCCAAACACCAGCCGATTCTGGACGGAAAGAGCGCAGAAACCGCAGCTTACTGGCCGGCGTCTGCGCCCAGCCCCGTCACACCGCACCAGCGGCCGCCGGTCAGGCCCCCCGGGCGCCGCGACGCCGGCCGACACGCACCTGTAGATGCTCAGCACGAGCGCGTGCGCCTGCCAGCGGATGGCGGTGGCGTTGCTCTCGAGCAGGAAGGTGCGCACGAAGCGAGCCGTGCCGGCCGGCAGCGGCCCCGGCCCGATCAGCTGACGCGCCAGCTGGCGGCTCATCGAAGACGGGTCCGAGTCGCTCGACGACTGAGGGCGCAGCGGTGGCACGTTATCGGCGGCGAAGCGTGTGGGGTACAGGGAGGCTGATGACCGCAACTCTCTGTCGGCGGTTAACAGCTGACTAAGCTGGCAGGGTATTTGTACGGCATGAGGGGTATGTCCGGTATGTGTTTTTCATTCCTCTGGCCAAATGCAAAGACACGGAACCCAAAAGCCACGGTTGCGTACGAATGTCCCTGAGTATGTACAATTCAGAGAACTTAACCATTCGGTTCATGGGCCAGCGACGGCAACTTCTCCTGATCGCCGACATTGCCACTTCTGCGTCTCGTGCCAAGGGGCGGCGGCGCGCCTCTCCCCGCGCTGACCGCGCCTACCACCGCTGACACCACGCGGACGCGTCCTGCCCGCTCCGCACACGGCCCCCGTCACGGCTCCCCGTCACTCCCGACGACACGCTCTCACCGTACCTGAGCGTGCTTCCCGCCGGCGCCGGCGGCGGCCGCGGCCGGCGCCGACACGGCCAGCTGCAGCAGCTGCAGGATGATGGGCGCCACGCCCTCGTCCAGCTGGTAGCTGGCCTGCAGCAGGAAGGCCAGCACCTCGCTCCGGCCGCAGAACCGCTGCCAGTTCACTGCAGCGCCACCACGCACGTGTCAGCCAGGCGACGGCATTACGGCAGCTTCATTTCAATGACGCAAGGAGCATGAGGCAGACTTGGGTTTTCATGAAAAACGGGCAAGCAATATCCCGTGGCGCTTACACCAAACCACACGCTTGGCTACTGGCGAGACCGACTGCGAGCACACTGCACAAACACGCTCTCCCTCGGCCCCCGCTGTCCGCAACGTCCCACGCTCATAACTCGGCAGTCTGGGAGCGGCGCCGGACGACCGCGCTGCCCACGGCGCTCCTGCCGCCGACGCCGGCAGCGCGCCGGCCACTGACCTGTGCGCGTGCTGGCGATCTCCTGGCACGCCTTCAGGTGCTCCACCAGCTCGATGAGCGAGTCGTACGAGAGGCAGAGCAGGGCGCCTCCCTCCGGTGAGCCGGCGCTCTCCCCCGCACAGCGACTGCACCGCCTGAGGGCACGGCCAGGTCAGGCGGTGGCCGGGCGGTGGCCGGAAGCTGACCCGGCGTCGGGTGACGCCAGGGCCAGCAGGGCGAACCCCGCAGCCAGGAGACTCGTGGGAGGGACAGAGGCCATCAGGGACCACGAGCAAAATCGCGTGTGTGACCGCAAGTCTTCTCG